GTTAATGACCGTCAAAATTACTTGGTTGTGCTGACAACTTGGGATAAGCACGCGGTCTAATAATTAGGGTTGTCAAGGTTAGGCTTTGGTTCTGCTAGAACTTCGAGCCCCGAGACAAGATTTTCGGGTCTTCGGTCATTGGAATTGTTATTGTAATTTTCCTCGCAGCTGGCAAAATTTCTTTCCAGCCAGTATAATTATAAAACACTCGAGCGTTGATAAAATTTCGACATGCAAAACGCGTCAAAATCCGCAAATATTCGAATATCCTCGTGTGCAACCGCGTGAACGCAGTTGAACCGCTTCGTGAAATTCGCCAAATGCGCTGATACCGATATCGATTTCGTGAGACGAAACGGCCTCCTCTCCTCTCTTTGTCTCCGGAACTCGATACTTCGGATTAGATCGATTTTACAGTAACGTCGACGTAAAAGTAAAGTTGTCAGCCATGAATCGCGCAAATATGAGAATTTCTGGCAATAGGAGGATTGTCAAGTCAGTGACAATTGAAATTCGCGCCACTTCGAATTACATTCTTCGGTTAAGGAGACACATCTGACGTTGAAATGCTTCGTTGAAATCTGTGTGCACGTATATTTCACTTACAGTGTAAGTCGGATCTTATCAGCGGCAGTTGCTTTACGAGCTAGACAGATACACATATTGATAATAATCGTAATTTAGATTGACTTAATATCGTGTAAAAACGATAAAAGAAGACCATATATTTGGAATTCCTTAAAAATGTCGTAAATGAAACATACGGCCTGGATGTCGCGCCACCGAGAATGATAAAATGTCGATTTTTGAACGAGGAAAGGAATGAAATATGAATACGATTATTATCGGGATTCGTGTCGAGCACGTCGGTATTCATTATAACGAGACAGGTGTACACCTGGTAATTTTTCATCTCGTTTTTCATTTCTTTCTTTTTTTTTTTTTTTTTTTCAGAGGGCAACAATACCGTGACAATGATTCGTCAAAAACAACGAGGAAAAACAGCTTGTTTTCGAATGAAAACAATCCATTCTTTTGTAATACTATTATCCGTCACTTGGCACGCGAGAGTACGAGAGATAAAGAAAATGGACAAATGGGTTCCACATGATTTCAAAGGAGTGCAAGAATCATGACGAACGGACAGCACGGCCACTTGAAAGAAATAAATAGGATGTATTAGAATATGAAATTTCTGTCAGATCTCGCTATTTCACTATCGCCTTCTACTGTCACGAATTTCCATTTTTTTCTTTTCTTCTTTTTTCTTCCGTAAACTTTTCAGACATATCGATTTAGAAACGTTTTCAAATGGTTCGGGTATTTCTCAGTATAATCTCTGACTGGAAGTCTATTCCGAAGAACTTCGAAGAATTGTCGAGTTTGTTTGAAATATTCGCTCTCCCTTCATCTTCGAATTAAACTCGGTTGCACGAACGAGTTAAAGACGAAGTTCGCCTTGCGATTAAAATTCTTCGTATGTCCGGTCTCGCCTAGCGTACCGAAAATTTAATACGAGCTAATTGCGATACAATTCCCTTCGAACAGCACGTGGAAAAAGGGGAAAAAGCAAGAGCCAGTACAGCAAACGCGAGAGACAAAGCGAGAACCGGGGACAAACAGTAAGACAAATCGCTGGTATTTTGCAGGCGCTGCGAAATCGCGTTATTTAATTAAAAGCGTGCGTCCTTCTGTTCTATCTAGCGGTGTCGAAAAAAAAAGAGAGGAAAAATAAAAAAAAAA